AAATGAAACTCAAGAAACTGATCCCTCTTTTCGTTTTGTTTATAGTAAGTTTAAAATATATACGAATTGACTTCACGACTTTTGACGAACCTTTGTCCCAGCAATAAGAATGATGACTGCTAAAAGGTCCCGAGCTAACACACTAGAAGGTCGTTTCGACGAACTCAGATCATAATTAATAATACTATTTTGTTCTAGGAATGCATTCTCTCACAGGTTAGTCCGTGCTAAGTTATTACGCAGTACAGTTTAAATAAGACGGAATATGCTGTTTTAAAACTAATTGTTTCCCGGGAACTGCATCAAGCGATATAATATTAATCTAAGCTGTGCGTTTGAGTCACTTTTGCCACGATTCTTTGGTATAACGGAAAACTACCAAGGCGACAAATTATGAATACGGCACGTCGCTATTATAGTTTCTTCAAGAACTCTCAAAGAATTTCTAGTGTGAACATACAATTTTAAAAGACTTCCGGGTATATGTTATTAATTTTATTCCAGAGCACGCCGGCTTCACATTAATAATATTATGTGTTATATAGTACACGCCGCCTCTACGTATACAATACGTGCAATTTAAATGTCACGAATTCACATAAAATATTATAATCGCGAGGCGAGTACGACAATCATTATCTCAAAGGGAAACCGTCAGAACGGAAACAAAACCACAATTTTTTTTTCAAGTCATCATCGTAATATCATTTTTTTCACGGAGTCATATTATCGTGCTTTAGCTTTGGATAATCGGATGCAAGCGAATTCAAAAATCAGCATTTCATTGACTTTTTGAAGCATTGAATACCAAATTACTGACCCAAAGGCATTTTTCCAAGAATATTTTAAATACTATTGTTATTTTCAAACGAATAATACTATTTTTTTTTTTTTTTATATACTTGAATCATTTTTTAAAATTAAATAGCTGATGTGGGAGAAATATTGCCCTCGGGAAACATTTAACAATTTTGCGACAGTTGTCTTGTGATGTACTTACCTACGGTATCCAGGTTAGCTGATGTTCAAAATATGTACTTATATCGTCCACTACAATATTCCTTATTTAGAACGACTTTTCTCATAATTTGTCTAGTGGTTTTTACTGACATGTCATCACGCCACTCGTCCACGAAAGTTCTCCATCGACGTTCTCCGCGATGTCTCTCTCTCTCTCTCTTGTTCTCATAGCACATACATTATACAGTTCCCGTCCTTCGATAAATCGATCCTTCATAGTACGCATCTATCATACTACTGACGGACTTCACCACACGACTACGTGACCCATCGGACAAGTCGTACAAGACATTCGAAAACCACTGCTGGTAACAATCGTTCCGAGTGTTTAATTGATTTATACACACATCACATCCCGCCCGAACACGTGACTGAGCGCCGGCTGTATTATTGTTGTTTACGCCCGGCACGTTTCGCATGTCGGCGGGGGAAGAGTTAAAGAGGTTTGCCATTTTCCGCTATTGAACTAACCACCGCCTATCACGCTAGTCAGAGTAAATTTATATTATAATTAAAACTGTAGGAGCTATAATAATATAACATAAACGACGCGTGTCGTGCAGCAGCGATAACAACTACCTACTGCGGCGAGGAGAACCGAACTCCGTTTTCGGGGCGTCCTTCATTCATTATGTGGGTAGGGCATGTATGCGATGAATATTATTATTATTATTATTATTAACGGCGTTTCGATACGCGTTCAAAAGCCGAAGGCTGAGATGTCTCGACAATAATAATAATAATAATAATAATAATACCAGCTATACGTGACTGGCGACGGCCACTCGAACGACGAGTCGTAATAGTATTGTATAATCATAAATTCGGGAAAATTGTATCAACGAATATAAACGCAGATATACATACCTAATGAACTGTTCGAACCGCGCCCGGTACATACCGTCATTACGACGACTAATAAGACAATCCAATCTGGATTAGCACGACCGTCTGAACAACACATTATACTGTGTAGAGGGTGGTTTGAATCCGGCAGCATTGAATTGATAATAATAATGATATTGAAATATTGAGGTACAAATTGCACTGGTGAAAACGTCGTCGAGATTTAATAATAATATACGTGTACTGTATAGTTCCGATAATCGTGCGACCATTGTGAACATAGCGACATTTAAACGAAAACATAATACAAATACATTAGTTTATAATATTATCTATTTTGTGATTGTCATAACAATTTACTGGAGATATAGTTAAAGATAGTAGATTGTAGCACCTTAAACTATATGAGAATATTATTTTGCTTGTTTTGTTGGTGAAAATATTCAAACAATCCATAATATTTTGAAAATAATTATATACATTGTACATATTAAATCATGATATTACATTTTCATTGGCAGATAGTGCCCTAAAGTGAAAATATAAAGTTTAGTTCACCAATGTATGCCAAGTCTATGTTTGACAAAACTATTTTTGCTAATAATGAATTTATAGAAATTCAAATTTTTAGAATATTTTCAGTATACCTTAAGACCGCAGTTTCAAATATTTCACCAATCGTTATCACATTGTCCTATATATTGGTGACAAATTACATTTTTCAAATGAAAACTGCCATACTTTTATGTAAATTTCAAAATTCTAAAGCAGATTATTATTATTTAATACGTGTTAATGTGTACAAATACATATTTGAGCGAATAGTTTATAAGTTGTTAAACTTTATGCACTAAGTTTAACTTTATTATCGCGTAAAGAGATTTAATGATTTCAAAACTATAACGATTTGAAAATTTTAGTTATTAATATTCATATATTAGCATATTATAGCATGTAAACATTTTCTGAACACAACACTGTTGACATAAATGTTTTAAATATATTATACGTTTTATGATGAACCATTATTGAGGATTATTACCTTTAGTCCATAAATTTAAGAATTCAGTAACTACTCCTTTGAATTTAAATTAAGATAAATCATTTTGTAAAAAAAAGAAAAAAGATTACATTTTTAAATAAAAAAGGGGGGTTCTTATTTAAAAAAAAAAAGGTTGTATCTCCACATGTCACTCATCAAATTTTGTGAAAGAATTTAAGTATCTGAACTCAGGATTTTTAAGTATGCAAGACAATTACATATGTGTGATTATTAAAGTATTATCAAATCAATAAACATAATGTGAAAGTATATATTTTTTTTTATAATAATAAATATAATGATGGTATAATAATTATACTCAGGGTGGTATGGTATCGTGATTAAACAAAAAAATATTAAATTAGTTATTTGTTTTAACCACGCTCATAGAATATTATATTTGTATAAGCGTATAGATTTTAACTCAATGGATTGCTTTTTATTTCAACAGAAAAAATGCTGAATTGCATCGGTAATGAGTCACTTTAAACAAGTCGTAAAGTTTTAAAGTTTTCGAGTAATCAATGACTATTTGAATATGTCTAAAAAATACGGAACTCCGTCGAAATTCAAAACGGCTTTTCGGTATTATACAAGTATTTAACATTCGGTGGGAACAAGTGATTATTATTATTATTATTGTTATTGTTATTGTTGTTATTGTCATTATTTGAATGGGGCGACCGTGGTAGTAGGGTTTCGTAAACCAAGAACGGCTATGCATCGGTGGTCGGTGGTTGCGGTGGTGGCGGTTGTGGTGCCGGTGGTGGCATAACTCCAAAGACCAGTCCTCCGGGGAACGGTCGCGCATAGCATCTGCCGGTCGGGCGTGCCGAGGAGAGTTGGTCTCGATATTATAATAGATACACAACAGGGTAATGATCAATATGCGTCGACAAGGGCAGCGTATTCTGCGAATTTGGCTACAATTGTAACAGTAATAATAATAATAATAATAATAATAATAATATAGGGAACATCGAAATCATGGGTCGTACGAAAAATGCGCTCCTCACAGTGACTATCAACTGTACACATATTATACAATAATACGAATATTGCCCACACATACTTGTGAGGACGGACGATAAATTTAAACGATTGACCGATAATATTAACAATAATAATAATATTATGGTAAGTGCACATTGTTACACACGCAGTTCCGTGTACACATTAGTTAGTGACGTCGAATACGTCATTTTCAGCTATCTAGGAAAAATATATTGTCCGTAGTAATTTATTGCGCTTCGTTGTAACACAGTTTGTAACATATTATAGTTAGTCAGTTATTCGTTCCGATGATTTCGAAGAGATTGACTTTGATGTTCAAAAGTTTCTCTAGCGATAAATATAAATTTAATATTATAATATTATTATTGTCATTTCCTTTTTTAATAGGTATAGGAATTTGTAGTCTACCAAACTTTGATGGCACGCAATCCCTTCAACGATTTCGTACTAAGGACACGTCATGTTAATATTGTAGGTATGTAAATAGTTAAAGGGGTTCCATTCGGTCATTTTCTAAGAATAAGGGAAATAATGTGGCAGGTACATCCGGGTCATGTCAATGTGTGTTAGTACAAAATATGAACTTTAGTGTCAGGATATTAAATTGGGAAAAAGTATCCATTTAGTTTTCGAGTAGGATAATTTACCTCGTGACAGAATTGAAAAACTTAGACTGATGTGGTTTTAATTATGTAAAAATCTTAACATTTATTAACTAAATATTGTCTAGAAAACGGTAGAGAAATTTTTTTGAAATTTGAATTTCTTCAATATGTTGAAATGTTGCGAAATCTGAAACTTTATGATATTATAAGCTTGTCAAAAGTTCAAACTTTGAAAAAACCATCTGAGCATACGGTTTTCTTGATGTGATGTTAAGAAATTTTATTATTTCAACGGCATTAAAATCGATCAATCCAAATTCTGACAATCTCGGCACACTCGAAGGTTTAAGTCAGTCGATTTATTTTTGACTGATTAAAACCACCTTAATATTGTATTTTTGATGAGTGATACATATAACTTTAGGAAGCATATTTTTCTGTTACAATAATATTGTTGAAAAAACTATAATTACCTTTTTTCAGTCGTTGGTGTTTTATGTTGTTTCTTTGCTTAATTGTTCATTCTGAAACACATTTTTATAATATTATGATATATTATAAAGTTTATACAGACAGTTTGAGTTAGTTTCACATGTTTCAATCGTACATCGATCATAAAATTATTATTATTATTATTATTATTATTATTGTGACGAGTAATACGATACGACGTCTTTGCGTTAAATCACAGGTAAAAAATTTAATCACAATGACACCATAACTCATGTGAGTTTAAAATCATATTATTATCCTATAAACACAAAAGCACAACCACACACATACACACAAATACTCGGGGAACAAATTAACTGAAAATAAAAGTTGACGTTTTTGTTGTATTTTTTTTTCAGAAATCTAATGCTTTTATTCACTCAATTTTATTAAAACCGATCCTATTTTTTCACGAAAAACAATACATGTCGTATATGCTCATACGTTTGTTTACTGTTTCATTTTTGTACTGCATTCGGCCTTTTAACGCTAAGCATGTAGAATATAAAACACTAATAATTAGAATCTATAATAAACGGCATTATAGCAAATATATTATAGTAAAAACTATAAATTAGTTTCATACCAAGTACACAGGATCGTCGTTCTCGAGATTGTGGTTTCGACGAAGACAAAAGGCAATAGTTGTTAACTGCTTTAATTATAATTTATAGGGCATGGCATTTTATGCGTTCGCATATTATTATATTATATATTATTTATTAATAAAAGCACGTCTTTCAGCTATGAATTTGAATCCAAATAACACATCATCATTGTTCGAGAACAATTATATTTTTCACATTTTTTACTATCAAACATATTATATTCGTTTTCAATATTATTCAAATATATTGTATTTATTTATTGAAAACTAATAAAGATTTATTTTTTTATAAATAAGTATTTCCGTATACTATTGGATAGTGTTAACCGACCAAAAGTATTACCAAATTTGATTAGATTTACATTTGTTTTTATTTGCATTTGACTCGGTGTATCGATAATCGTTGGCTGTAGTCAGATAATCTAATTCTTGATAGAAACACTTATTTTGATTGCCTTTATACATTATCAGCATAATATTACTTTGGGATGTAATATAGATATACTCTCACAAAAAAATATTTATAATGTATTACCAAAATATGATTTGACGTACTTATCATACAAATTGGGGTTGTCTTTATCATTTTTCACTGAATCGTCTTGCTAAATATAACGGCAACGAATGTGGTACAATTGAATACCATATATACTTTTTTTACCATAGGTTCTAAGGTATCCTCAAACTTTGTAGGTACCTAAGCAAGTATTCAATTTTTTGTAAGAGCCACAAACAGATGGGTATCTATATGAATATACCTACCGGCCGATCTAATTTGAAAACGTACAATAATAATAATAAAGCAAAATACTTGATCATACTGAATAATGAAATTGACGTTTTACATGACTATCAACTTTGAATAGGATAAACACTGTAATCTCGACTCCATCGACACGATGGGAGTGACTAGGGTACACGACAAGTGTATTTTGTAGACCACATATTGGTACATCAAGATTACCGGAAACTTTCGTTCAAAAATATGAATCTTAAAAAATGATAACGATTATTGTTTTTACATTTTAATGCGATATTAACATAAATACATTATTTTCTAGTACAACAATTATCATATAAATGGAAAAATATTTTATTTTTTTAATTAACTAAATCTCAAAAAAAAAAAGTGTTAAAACTTTGGTTGAAAATTTAATTTAAAACTAATTTTTAAGTAATTATTGCCTCGCAGTTCACTAAATGTAATATTGCGCTTAAACGCGCAAGCACAGTAAGTTATATTATATTATTATAACAGTGCATATTATCATTATAATTACGGGCAATATTAATTACGAAATTGTGTTATTATTATCTCGTTCGTAAAATGCAATAGACCGGCGTACGAATTGGCATGTACTGTTATTGTAATAAACACGGACCGTATGCGTGTAACAATCGCGTAGTGAAATCTTGACCTTTAAGCAATTCTCATAATATTGTGCGACTATCAGCCTTTATCGACGGTTATCAGACGAACGATCCATTACAGTATTGTTAAAACATCACATACAGTTGACTTGCGAGGTATATCGTAACATTATGCATTGTGGGTGTTCGATCGATAAAAACAAAAGATGAACCCGTTCACTGTAATAATCAGCGCAATGAGCATTGTTACCTATTGCAATTTGGCATTATTATAATTGTTTTCTTTTTCATACATTCAAAACGGAACGGAAAAATATTGAACCAAACGCGTTTCGCATTTCAATTAACTTTATATTATTCAATTTGTCTTCGTTTGGACGAGTGCACGCGACAATAATATTAAAAATAATTACCAAAATATATATATAATATATGTATAGAGAAGTTAAACGAGAAGCTCAACATAATCGAGTAACCAACATTAAGCGGGATAAGATAATAATATTATAACGACAAAATGTGCTTCTCAAAGTCAGAAACTTGTGTAATGTACTTACTACCGGGTAGATGCCGTACGAGAAGTCTAGGTTTGGTGATAAAGAAGAAATTAATCGTCTGAGTTTATTCAACCCGGATTTCATACATAGAACACGAATAATATACTCTGATTTTGTTGGCGAGTTTAGTTTCTCTGCTCTGTTCAAGTTAAGAAACGTAGTTGGCGGTGAAGATTTTTCGTCGGGCCGCGGCCAGCCAACACTCGTTTGCCACACCACCCAGTCAATGGTCTGTATACCTGTCGTATAGTTTTGCCACTCCCCTGAGGGCCGCCGACTACGTTTCTTAACTTGAACAGAGTAAAATACGTATATATATCGTAACGATTTTGAGTCCCAAATCCAAAATGACTAAATGGATTCTACAACTTCAAAAAATCTACAACGCATAATTTGCATGATGCATAGTTTATCGTGCAACCCCGAAAAGGACACCCTCTCATCGTTGTCTCCGTCTCACAAGTGCAAAACAACTTTAAGATTAGCGAATCACGTTTGGCTCCTTCGGCTTTCATATTACAGACAATGTCGTCGTGTTTAAGTTGGATAATAATTAGCTTATACTATTAGTATGACATAACTATAGAACATCAAAAGTGAATATTACCGAACATTATTTCCCCTTCATATATTATGTTATGCTACTGTGATAAGCAGACATCATCGATTAATGCAATAATTGTTTCGTTCTTCACTCTTAAAGATTACTATCTTTTAAATACAACATTCTATTTTTTTCATATAAAAAAATTATAACTTTTGGTTTCCCCGACAATAATTACCTATTATATTTCTTTGTCTGATGTAAAAATTAATGCGACAACCGAGATAAGAGCTCTCGGTGAAATTAAACAATTATGTTATATCAGCTACATCTGATATTATTATGTCGTTCGGTAATAGTATGCAAATTATTAAAATGCAAAATAGACGTATTCTTACCTACCTGTACGTATTGTGACGATAACTATTAGCTCTGAAAAAGGAACTCTCTCTAAAATAACAATAATAATAATAATAATAATAATAATAATAATAATAATAATAACATCAACAATAATTATACTATATTAGGAACACAAACAAGATTAAGATGAAAACGCAAATTGAGTAGTTGGTTCGCATGGATGGAAATTAGTTTGAAGACCATGGGGGTACCATTGGCTTAGCCCCCCTCAAATAATTCCAAAGAAACAAATATAATATATAATAAAAGCTTGAAATATCAAACATTATGTTATTCATTTAAAGCTATTAAGCAATTTGATTCAATTTGTGTTAAAAGCATACCAGGAAGTCTGACAACCCAACTCTCGGATATTGTATTTTGTCGAAGAAAAAAAGGATGTACAAGGTTTCAAGTATTCCTTTTTTATTTTTGCTGTCGAATTAGTGGAATTGTATGTTCATTCTAAGATGATCACTTGGCATTACATTAAAAATATTGTAATACTGCGTTGGCTTGAGAAGTGTCCGATTGTTCTTAGGTAATATTATTATATTTTACACTTTTAAGAACTAATACAATTTAGATGCACAACTCGAATTGATTTCAAAGGTTGATCGACCTCGATGCTGTCCAATCGTTTTACACTTCTGCGAGCCACTTTCTCAATTGGGTACACATCGTCACATAGTTCCGCTTAAGTATTTGACTTCTTAAGAACCGTACCTGGCGGTATTAAAAAGTACAACCACGGCCATGTCCTATTGGTTAACAATTAGATTAGGTATATAAAAAACTGTTAAGCTTTCCAAACTATCGTTTCATCCCAATGCCCTAAGAAACCAAAAGTAGTACTATTAAAATCGACTTTTCTTTACTAATAATCTTTTTTTTTTTATTATGGTATTGAGGACTGGAGGAGGAACTATGGTGCCAGTACTTCTCCTCCAGCCCCCATCGTTTATTGTCAAAAACAAAAACACACAACAATTAACAACGGCGGGCCAATCCCC